TCAAGAAATTCAAGCTAGAGGAACTGTGCAACTAAACTGTAATGAAGGATGAAACAAGGGTTACGTAGTTTGTTCAACTGACAAGATAAATATTTATTTGGCACATCATTTGCTCACTACCGAGAACTGACATTTTCTGCCAATCTTGTCGATAAAGCTCGGCATTGTTTCTCTGTAAAACATGTGTAATAGTTTGTGTCACAAATTCAGCAAACTATACTGATTCTGTTGCTACTACTATCGGTGATCATTACGCACCTTCCCTTCCTCATTCCGCAGATTGCAAAAAAAAACACAATAAAAATTGATCTGGCAAGCATCCGCATAGCTGGCAGAGGACCATTACAGCTAAATAGGGCTCTTGTCATAATGATAGGCTCGACCACCACAAGACGAGAGCAACATTCAGGCAGTGGTCTTCGTGTTTGTTTTTATGCTCATATTTGTCGAATTTCAAAGTTATGATTCGTACCTGGGAAGCATTCAATATGCGTGAGTGACTTGTTTTCTTCGGACGTGACTGTATGCATTGCTACAGTAATAGCTAGGGCACGTAGCATGCATGTTGAGAACTTTACATAATGTTCGCTATTTTTTTCGCTTCAAGCCAGCTTGGTGACCAGAGGATAACTGCACATCACTGTAGCCATAATTCAGCAACCATCATTATACTACTGTGTTTTGTTTATTATAATTGGGATGGCGCAGTAATTTTAAACGCTCGACGTGTACACACACACACACACACACAAACACATACAAACACACACACACGCGCGCACGCGCGCGCGCTTGTGCACATAAGCACACAAGGAGTGAGCGACTCAAACAGCGGAAACCGACAGAAGTTTGTTCTGTCTAATGATGATGATGATAAATGCAGCGGCAAACCTCCTCATGCTGTTGCAGTTTGCTACGTCACCGCTCTCCTTATATTCGTGTTAATGATGAAAGGTAGAGTTTCCGTTCTGTAAAGTTTTGTGTAGGTGTTTTCTGAATTGGGTATTGAATGCACAGAGTTTCCGAATATTAACTAGAAGAGACTAGCGCCGCAATAGTTCAGCGACCATGAGAATGATGCGTAGTTCTCGAATCTGCTTACTTGTCGTACTTCCGTGCCTCCGATCGTGCTTGTGGCTTCGTTTATTGCTGCGTTTTTGTTGTGTATTGACAGAAAAAAAAATTTTGAATTTTGTGAGCCGATTTCAAATTGTGAGCCTGAAAGATCAAGGGGGTGAAGCGCAATTCGATCGTTTCCTGTTTTTTGTTTCTTCACAAAACAGCTTCAAGGCACGCGAAGCCCAACGGACCCGGAAGTGCGAAGGTTAGAGAAAACCGTGTACTACACACCATTCCCATGCGCGTTGAAGTGCCGTGTGTTGCAGCTTCCACAGACAGTTGCTCCAGAGTTGCCTCACGTGTATATATAGGAAGTTTTATGTTAGAATGAACTGTGAAACTTGCGGTGCACTTGAGATAGGCGTATTGCATCTGTGGTAATAATTTAGAAAACTCTAATTTACAAAATCCACAAAGTTAACTGCTTTTTTTAATCTGCGTAAGGTATTACGGATGATATTTACATTGCTAGGAAGTAACCGGATGCATTGATGGTTCAACGTCCTTTCTTACGGTTATGCGCCGATTGAATTTGAGGCTCATTAGAAATCATGCTTTTTACGTGGTCACTGTTCTGCTAAAAGGCGTTGCATAATACGCTCTTCTGCTCTAAACGACAATTGAACACCCTAAGGAAAGAGCACCGTGGCAGTGCCATGAAAAGAGACAGATGAACGGCTTCCTGGCAATACAGAAAAAAAACTGTCAAAATATCTTACCTTGTAGCCCCTCATGTGTGCACCTTTTCCTGTGCTAAAGTCACGCTGTTGTCAAACAAAAAAAAAACGCCACCAGGCCTGAGCGGAACGCGCAGCACAGTTACAGTGAAGGCTGGAAGAGCGCTCTTTCAGAGCCTTTTCTTTTAACTCTTTTTGTTTAACTACAACAAGCAAGTTTGTAAGGCACCCTTACACTATTACTTCACCCCAATTCTTCTGTAGTATGGAGGCGTTCACCCTGCCATTCTACGCCATTCTGCGGAGAAGTGTGGCATCCACCACACATCTTCAAAGGAATCTTTCGAATTATGTTTATGCTGTGCCTTACAATGATCAATAATCATGCCTGAAGCTTTTGTAATGGGTGAGGGCGTATGACTACCCGCTCATTACGAAAGTCGCGTTGTGTGACGCCTCGTTGTCCATTTGCTGTTCTAAAAGGCTTTATTATACACAGTAACGCGATTCTTTTCCCGACAACGCACTTATCCCAGGGCATTTTGCAACGGAGCTTCAAGCACTGGCATGACTCTATGCGGAAAAATACTGTGATGGTACCCGGAGGACCCACGTTCGAATGCCTTTGTGTCCTTGGCGTTTCTCGTTTACTTACGTTTTCGTCTTATTTTGTTCGATACTGGTTACGGACACCGGTGGAGGCGGCAACAGCGGCGGCGTACATGGCGCACGCGACCGTTGTTGTGATAACGGCTTTCGCCTTAAAATTGCTTTATTGAAGCATTTGTGTAAGAAAGACTCACTCATGAAAAAAAGGCTGGACCAAATTAGCATGGCGGATGCGCCAGGTAGGCGAAAGAGAGCACGTTAATTAGGAAGTGGGTGGGCGCTGTGAAGGATGTGGCAGAAAGAAGCCAAAGCGTTCGCTACTCTAACACTAAGATATAAAACCACTTAAGAAAACAGGCTCCTGTCGTGAACATAATACGCCACTCGTGAAATGGGCAGGTTTAAAAGATAATCACTTATTCGTGTGTGATACCGTTCCGTACGCCTATGATGTATAGATTCTTGTAACTAAGAAGTTTTGGAAACGTATTCACTAGAGAGTCAAAGAAATTTATTCTAAATGGTGAATTTGTTCTGAGCTGTTCATCTTCTACGTAGTGTGGCAGCGTGGGCCGGCAGTCATGAAGGGAAAGGCATTAATGTTTACTTGCACAAGTGCTGGTGTGGCAGCGTGGGCCGGCAGTCATGAAGGGAAAGGTATTAATGTTTGCTTGCACAAGTGTAAAGCCATGCACGTTCATCTAAAAAGCAGACGAAATCTTGCTGTGGCATAGGAAATCAGTATAACTAGGAGGGTTGCTTTACTCACGTAGTTATTTAATATGACGTTGCCAGAAACACTTAGCATTTCTAATAAAAATGTGGTACAACTCACAGAAGACATCATGGCACATTTCTAGTTGCTTAAAATGCTTAATAGTAGTAGAGCTTTCAGCCACGCTCACATGCTGCTCAGTCACATCACTTGAGTATAAACGTCACGCATGATATCATTCGTAGAGTGACCTTGCGCTGTGACTTATGGTTGGGAGAGTACTGATGCTTCTGAATCTCAAAACTGTGAAGCGTCTGACTTAAGTCCGTAGCCCACCACTGCCAGTGACCCAGGCCAACTGCTGCTACTGACAAAGTGATGCTAAATAAAGCAGTGCTGTATTTACGGTACACATACCACCTAATACAAGTGTTTTCTTAAGTGAGATGACTGTCCGTATATGAAGTGACTGGATGTTCCACTGCTGAACCCTTCAGGCTACTTAAACACACACCTTGCTATACTGGCAGTTTCATCGAACGATTTATTGTTATAATCTCATGCTATGCTCACAATACGAGGGGTTCTCAAATGTTCAGCTTACAAGTGCACGCCAGTTATCGTACATAAGCAGATGATGACCGCTTAATCTCAATTATTACTATGCTTCTTGCTATAAACTGCAATTTCTTCATGCGTATGACTTAATCTTGTTTGTTCATGCGTATGCCTAATGATGTTTGTGAACTTTTCACGCGTGAAAAGTGGCTCCAGACGAGGCGACTCTCAATTTGAAAGCTGTTATGTTTTAGTTAAAATTCCAGTTGTACAAGAATACTGACATTGTTGGGTTGCACAAATGTCATGTTGGTCCTGCTGAGAAGCTTTGCTACTGTACGTCACGCTTTCGCTTGAGCATGAAGGCGATCAGAAAGCTGAAGTCTAGCCTATCTGACCCATCATATCAAAATTACACGCATTTTCTTTACGTTGATCATTCCTATCCTAAACTATAGTGGACCTTCACAATGTGTTTTAATAGATAGCAATATGTTGGTTTTTACAATGCAGTTACAGAAATCAGGGCCAAAGATCATGTATAATATACTGAGTGAATTGAGTAAATCAGGAAAAGGTGAAATTCGTGATCACAAAGGGGCAGTCTAGAGTATAATACCTAAATTAATTGGTTGCGCATAGGACCAGGCTTCCATGAAGCATTACCTCATTCACAGCTTTTTTTATGTGTTGCAAGAAGCGAATACTTTCTATTTGATTGATTGATTTGTAGGGTTTATCTCTCATAATCATGAACTGGTTTTGGGACGTTAAACCCCACATATCAATCATTTGTAGGGTTTAACTTCCTAAAACCACCATTTGATTATGAGAGACGCCGTAGTGGAGGGCTCCGGAAATTTTGACCACCTGGGGTTCATTAACGTGCACCCAAATCTGAGTACACGGGCCTACAACATTTCCGCCTCCATCGGAAATGCAGCCGCCGCAGCCGGGAATCGAACCCGCGACCTGCGGGTCAGCAGCCGAGTACCTTAGTTACTAGACCACCGCGGCGGGGCGATACTTCCTGTGATCCAATGTTCGATGTCGAACAACGTTTGCTAAACAGAACCTTGGCCTATGCAAGGCTAAATTTTTGAAGCGATTGCCTGCGAAAAAGGCACTATTACTTCTGTCTCACACATGTACTGACAATTATAGCCGTAGCAACATACAGCCTATGAACTCAAGCCCCCCCCCCCTTATGTTATGTTAGAGACTATACGTCTCTAACATTATCAATGTCATCAAGTGGTAAAAAACAGGCTACATTTCGGGCAGAGCAGTTTATTGTACGACCATAACCAAAATGATGGATCGAAACGTCGAAACAAGCTGCTCCGTTGCATTCCACATTCGGTAGAATCAGATGGTAGGGAAGATGCAAATTTCTGCAGAAAGGAAACAAGAAAGGCGTGATTATTAACACTCACAAACAATAGGCCACAGTCACACAACAGGGATAAATGTCCGGTAAAAATGCCAAACTTACACTTCTTCTTGCGGAGGAGGGTGGCGTAGTTCAGTGGAGAGCCAAGACCATATCCGTAGTTGAGGCCGTAGCCGAGGAGACCATGTCCGTAACCGTAGCTGCCAACTCCATAGCCGAGCGAGCCAACGCCATAGCCGTAGTAGGCTGGGGCGGCATGAGCAACGCCGTAGGTAGCGAGGGCTGGGGCGGCATGGGCGACGCTGTAAGTGGCGACAGCTGGGGCAGCGTGGGCGACGGTAGCGACAGCTGGGGCGGCGTGGACGGCAGCAACGGCTGGAGCAGCGTGAACAGCGGTCACGGCTGGGGCAGCGGCGTAGGTGGCGACAGCTGGGGCAGCGGCGACAACGTGAGCGGTCTGTTGGACAACCCTGGTGACAGCTGGGGCGCTGTAGGCGACACGAGTGACAGCTGGGGCAGTGGCGACAACTGGAGCCGACTGAACAACCCTGGTGACAGCTGGGGCAGCAGCGTAAGTGACGGCTGGGGCTGCAGCAACGACAGGAGCTGACTGTACCACCCTGGTGACTGCTGGAGCAGCGGCGTAGGTTGCAACAGCTGGAGCGGCGTGGACAGCAGTAACGGCTGGAGCAGCGTGTACAGCAGTCACGGCTGGAGCAGCGTGGACGGCGGTAACAGCTGGAGCAGCGTGGACGGTGGCAACAGCAGGAGCAGCATGGACGGCGTAGCTAGCAGCTGGGGCATATCCGTATCCATAACCAACACCGTAGCCGGTCAATCCAGAGTAACCAACTCCGTGGGAGAGACCGTAATGAGAGAGACCAAGACCACCATAGCCAAGACCAGCGTAGCCGAGGTTGCCGTAGCCGAGACCATAGCCGAGGTTGCTGGCTAGGGTATAGCTACCAACAGGGTGACTATGAACGGCACTGATGGCCAGGGCAAGCACAATGCAGGCACGCAGCTAGAAAGAGAGAAACACAGGTTGATATTTTATGCACTGATTATTCTGAATTGAAATGACGTAGATATTTTTTGTTGATGTATGCTCAGATATTGGAACAATATATAAATGTTTAAGGAACGACTTGTCGAAGCTTTCCAAATACGCGTATTTATGTTTTAAAAATATAAATGAGCTAAAAACTATTGTAGCATATGGACAGGAGTGATAACATTGTGGAATGAATTTTTCACTACAAGTGACTTGCTTGAAAGTGGTTAGGACAAAGTTTTTATAATTGAACGAAGGAAAAGTTTGGGATACAGAGAAGTTGAGTGTGTTCTTATCCGGGACGTTTCGGGTGTCACAGCTATCTAAGTACCTTCGTGAGACAAGTCTTTTTCATATGCATACCATGGGAACTCTAGCATTGCTTAGCAAACCTTTGGGAAAGTAACCAATTGAATTATTGCCCTCAAATACAATATTACAACACAGACGACCCTTCAAACAATACATGTGTTTTGCTGGACAGCAGCACTTTTTGTTTTACCAGGGCGCAAAACCAGTTGATCTTCAAACGATGTACCTTGCCTACACAATAGTTAAAAAAATTGAAGTTGGAATGCTCAGAAAGATGCGTCTTCTATGCTACACACTGCTAAAGGGGAATATGTGGTACGATAACAGATATCAAATACACATTTAGCCTCATTTTTCAAAAGCAATTAGTAACTTTCGAAGCTATATCGCTTGCACACTACAAGAAACTGATTGACAAAGCAGTAATTTCAGTCAACAATTTTGCGTTCTCCGGTATTCATTGAGGTTTAGGACCATTGAGTTCCTTTGAATGATTAAGGATATTCTTTTTTCGCTGAGTAGTGGATCACTGTTGGTGACTTAAAATGTATGCTTCCAAGTATCTTTGAAAATATATGTTCAGATTGGTGCACTAAGCTTAAAGATATGACAATATTACATATAATAAGCGTGTGATCAGTACAGCATAACAGCTTTATCTAGAGCTAAGTTCTTAAATGTCGAAGAAAGTCAGTGAAACGATCATTGTATTATATAAGTAATGATTCTTAATAATTTATGTCCACTAATTTTTTCAGAGCCCTTCTTGAAAGTAGGCGATCACTACAGAGTTGTTTGATGCGACTTACCATGTTGAAGGTGGTCTTTATCCCTTGGAGGAGCAGATGCTTCTGGCTTGGCGGTCAGAATTTCGAGCTTTTATACTGGACGGTTCGCTTCGAGAAGAAAAAAATTGAACCAACCCATATCATTGGCAAGAGAAAAGTTAGCGCGTTTGTTAATAAAAATTATTTTTATAGACACCAGCAGCTGAACAGCACGTGCATGTCGCAGTAGACGAAGTATAAAGTAACTTTTTTCGCTGTTTTTTCTGTCGTGTGTTGGTTTTGCTTGAACGTTTAAAGGATTGACTCTTGCTATTTCAAATCGTATAAAACACGTTCTCGTTCATCGCGAAAGATGCAAGAGAAAAAAAGAGAGTAACTGACGTATCATAGCCCCAGTAGTACATTACACATTCAACTCAACGCGTAGCGATAAATATTTCAGTAAGGCACAGATCTTTCAATGCTGACAGAGACACTCAGTAGTGCCGCATAACCGGATGTTCTCTAGTATGCGCTACAATATAGAGACACTCATTTTTTCATTTGATAACCTGGCTTGAACGAAAATTGATTTTCTTTCTCGGGAGCTGTTAGGCACAAATTGCAGGTGTTGTATTGTACAGAAGAAAAAAACTTGGTGGGTATGCGCCAGGAGCGTGGGTATGCTCGAAGCAGCTCCGAGCATGTGAAAGCCATGTAGAATACGCTGTAGCAAGAGGATGTGAAAGGAGATTAGGGAGGAGAAAAAGTGTTGTGATGGTGAGGAGAAAAGAAAGGAAAAAGGGAGAGGGCAAGACATGGCAGCCTTGCATGGTGAAAGTAAAGCAGCACTCACAGAGCTTATGTGCCAAGGAGCTCTCAGCAAGGCATAGCCAAGCAAAGTGTAGCACAGGAAGAGGCTGCGGAAGAAGTAAGAGGGTAAAGGGGCGTGACATGAAAAAGAAGAGGAAGGAAAAAGTAAGCGGGAGGGCTCAGTATGGTCTTGTATGCTTGTTTGTTGAAGTTAAAATTGTTACAATTTCCTCGGTGCACAGGGCTGAAGGCTCATTATTTCCCTGAATGAGTGACGCTACCCTGCAGCAGAACAAGAGCACTCCACCAGGAAACATCATGAACACACAATGAAACGGTACATCTTTTTTTCGAAAGGATTTCTATATTCGGCACCATGCGGTGTAGATTGCACAAAGGTATAAACAGAGCTGTCATTTAAATGGTAGCAATACTTCAAACAAACCAGCCGCGGTGGTCTGGCGGCTAAGACACCCGGCAATGAACCCGCAGGTCCCAGGATCCGCTTGCGACAGTAATGGCCGAATTTTCGAAGAAGGCAAAAAAGCTTTAGGCCCGCCAATGCAGATTTAGGCACTCAATAAAAACCCCTAGGCGACAAAATATTCCTAAGCCTTCCTCAACGGCCTCTGTCATAATCATATCGTTGTTCTGCGAAATCGAAATTTTATAATTATTATTTCTAAAACAACAAATGCGACTTTTTTATTAAAATTCAAGCAAAAAAATCATTCAAAAACCTTCTCGACTCCGTTGCGAGTAAAGGGCAAGAGAGTACGAACACAGCCCTTATTTCACTGGTGGTAGTATTACAAAAGGAGCAATCAGGCACGAGTTGATGAAAGGAAGTGCTCCAATATGGCATGCTTTTGCCCTCCAAGTGACACCTGTAAAATGTTTTTAAACGATATTCTAAATAAACGTGACATCTACTGAATGGAACCTATAGGAAACATAAATGAAAGAAGCAGTCAGTCACAATGACATGATACACAAAGTGTAAAAAAACACAAGACATAAAAGATTTGAGATCTTAAAGGTCGAGAACATCATTGCTTTCCGATTGAGTTACCTGGTTATTTCTTAAAGTGATCTGCATGATATTCCTTCCTGCATTAAATAAAGTATAGTTCAATTTTGGTTTTGGATGTCGGGCATGTTTCAGAAAGGGCTTCGAAAGAGACGCAAGGGCCAGGTAGACTGATTTTCAGTGCAGGAAGAAGGAGAGCAGAGCGCAAAGGAGGTGGTGAGAGTGCATACCATAATACGACCATGTACAGCAGTAAAAATCAGTGCCCTTCAAATATCCCCATGGGTGATGCCAGTATGTTTCATTACTAGACTGCGCTAGTAACACTGGTGCATGCTCGGACTAATTAGAACGTCTGTGAGCACACATTGATAGCGCGGGTTCACAGTCTCAGGGGCACTGGCTTCGCCTTGGTGGAGCCGGCGTACACTTAGAAACGCTGAAACCTCTGAGATATTTTCTGGAGTGCGGTGGTGCACACTGGAGCCAGTCTTATTTCTGCCAGTATTTTACTAGATTCAGTATTCTACGTGGCGGATTCTTTCACTATCACTGAAAACCGAATTTTTGGTTCGATGATTCTGGTATAGACACTATCCCAGAGAGCCTAGCACATGTAATAGTAACATACGTAGTAGTAAAATTCTGTCATTTTGTTGTCTACCATTCTATTGGCGAGAATACCCTGTTACCAGAGCCCTGGAAAAATTTTTCAAGTAAACATCGAAAGGCTTCACTGAGAGAGTTTATACTTTCGCGAATCTACCCCCAAGAGGTGTTAAAGTCCGTCAAGTACGAGTATAGTTAGGAAGACTAGGAGAAGAGCTTGAGATGGGGAAAAAACGGAATATTTGGTGCTCTAGCTCGAAGCATGCTTGAGCGCCTGTAGGCAAAAGCGTAGAGCGTAATAAAGATGCGAGGGGGAGAGGAGGAGATTAAAAATGGTGTCTATGACCGATGTATGCGGGGTGGATTCGAGAGCTGATTTTCCCGTCCAGTGTCCCGAAAGAAATAAAGAACGGACTCGCAGAGTTGGGTGTGGTGCCGTGCTGAGAACAGGACGTTATTCTCTGAGCATAGTAACGGAAATTTCTTGTATCTGTGAATATTTTTCCCGTCCCAATCAACACGCGGCAAGCTAAGCAGGAAGAGATAACACGAGTGAATTAAGTTACGTCACGTGCATTGGGACCTTAAGCAGTCTTTCTTTTTTTTTCATTTTGAATGTGTCGCTAAACCTTCAGAAAGATGGCGCGCACGAATGCTAGAAAAACGTTGTCACCTGTTGATATGTAGACCTAGCATACAAAGTTTTAGAAAATCGCATAGAACCCATGATCCCGCAGAAGTGGTCTAGTGGCTGCTGTCCTGCAGGTCACGGAGTCAAATTCCGACTGAGGCGGCTGCATTTTCAATGGAGGACAAATTGTTGTAGGCCTGTGTGCTCAGATTTGGGAGCACTTTAAAGAACCCCAGGTGGTCAAAATTTTCTGGGCCCTTCATTACGGCGTCTCTCATATTCGAAATGTGGTTTTTGGACGTTATACTTTTCAGATCAGTCAATATTAATCATACAGCCCATGTCATAAAAATATCAATACCCTTGGAAATAATGGACTTTCATCGAAGAGGCTTAAAAATTATACTTCACCTCTACAAATAAACTTACGATTGTAAAACTAGCAGCTTTGCAGTTTTCAGACAGCAGTTTATCAATTTGAACGAAGTCATTGTTGGTCCTTTAGTGTGTGTTTAAAAAAGAACTCCGTCTGCATTCACCAGGTGGTGGTGCTTGCTGCGAGCTCTCCTGTTCATTCATATTTGAGACCTGTAAAAGGGGCCAGACTTGTTTTCATTTCATTACGTTTAGATGTTCTAACAGATTGGTAAGTTCACAAGAACTTCCATGTTTCTTTCAATAAAGAAAGATGCTTGATCTTTCCGCTAGTGAAAAAGGTTGTTGGTGAAATTCAGTCGTATATTTATGGAAGTAGCTGAGTGTCTATTGTGTATTAGGTGTATATTATCTTGTACAATATATATTGACA